GGACAGGTGAGCCCCAAACACACCTGGACAGATGAACCCCAAACACACCTGGACAGGTGAACCCCAAACACACCTGGACAGGTGAGCCCCAAACCTGACCCTGATCCCAGACAGGTGAACCCTGATCCCAAAACCTGACCCCAATCCTGAACCTGAGCACACCTGGACAGGTGAACCCTGACCCTGATCTGGATCCTAATCCTGACCCCAATCCCGGCCAGGTGAGCCCTGACCTCGCTCACACCTGGACAGGTGAACCTGAGCACACCTGGACAGGTGAGCCCTGACCCCGATCCTGACCTCGCTCACACCTGGACAGGTGAACCTGAGCACACCTGGACAGGTGAGCCCTGACCCCCCCTCAGCTGGGGGGGGATGAACCAGGTGACCCCCAGATGTGCTCAGATGTGCTCCAGGTATCCCAATCCTCTCCAGGTGTGCTCCAGGTGTCTCAGGTGTCCCCAGATGTCCCCAGATGTCTCCAGGTGTGCTCCAGGTGTTCTCCAAGTATCTCAGTGTCCCCCCCAAATGTCCCAGGTGTATCCCAGGTACCCCCAGATGTTCCCAGGTTTGTCCCAGGTGTGTCCCAGGTGTGTCCCCATTCCCCCCAGGTATCCCCAGGTGTCCCCAGGTGTGTCCCAGGTGTCCTCAGGTGTCTCAGGTGTCCCCTCAGGTGTCTCAGGTGTATCTCAGGTGTGTCCCAGGTGTCCCCAGGTGTGTCCCAGGTGTCCCCAGGTGTGTCCCAGGTGTCCTAGGCGTCCCCAGGTGTCCCCAGGTGTCTCAGGTGTCCTCTCAGGTGTCTCAGGTGTATCTCAGGTGTGTCCCAGGTGTCCCCAGGTGTGTCCCAGGTGTGTCCCCATCCCCCCCCACCCCAAGCGGGTCAATCTCGGTGACTCAGAGGATTTTGGGGCGTCCCCCCCCCTCACCTGGGCCCCTCCCCCCTCACCTGGGCCCCTCCCCCCTCCCTTGGGCTATTTAAGGTGTCCCCGGTCCCCTCCTGTCCCCTCCTGTCCCCACCTGAGCTCACCTGGGGGTTCCCTGAGCCCACCTGAGCTCACCTGGGCTCACCTGGAGCTCTCCTGGGGCTCACCTGGGCTCACCTGGGATCACCTGAGCCCACCTGAGCTCACCTGGGCTCACCTGGAGCTCTCCTGGGGCTCACCTGAGCCCACCTGAGCTCACCTGAGCTCACCTGGGATCACCTGAGCCCACCTGAGCTCACCTGGGATCACCTGAGCCCACCTGAGCTCTCCTGGTCCCACCTGAGCTCACCTGATCCCACCTGGCCCCGATGGCTCCGCCCAGGCCCCCGGTGCTGCTGCTGCTGCTGCTGCTGCTGGGTGAGACTGGGGGAACTGGGATGAACTGGGATGAACTGGGAATGAACTGGGACGGATTGGGATGAACTGTGATGGAGATTTGGGGGACTGGGATTGACTGGGATGGACTGGGATGGACTGGGATGGACTGGGATGGACTGGGATGGACTGGGATGGAGATTTGGGGGACTGGGATTGACTGGGACAGGAACTGGGATGGACTGGGGGGAACTGGGATGGACTGGGAATGGAGATTTGGGTAACTGGGATGAACTGGGAGGGACTGGGATGGACTGGGATGGAGGTTTGGGGGACTGGGATGAACTGGAACTGGGAGGGACTGGGATAGAGAGTGGGAGGGAAACTGGGACGTGAACTGGGATGGGAACTGGGAGGGACTGGGAATTATGGGTATGGAATCTGTGGTGACTGGGATGAACTGGGATGGACTGGGATGGACTGGGACAGGAACTGGGATGAACTGGGATGAACTGGGATGGACTGGGATGGACTGGGACAGGAACTGGGATGAACTGGGATGAACTGGGATGAACTGGGATGGACTGGGACAGGAACTGGGATGAACTGGGATGAACTGGGATGGACTGGGATGGACTGGGACAGGAACTGGGATGAACTGGGATGAACTGGGATGGACTGGGCTGAACTGGCCCAAACTGGTCTGAACTGGGCTCCTCCCCCCCAGGCTCCGGCTCCGGCTCCGGCCCCGCTCCGGATCCGCTCCCGGCCGGGGTCGATCCCTGCAAGGATCCCCTGGGATTCCTCAGCCCCCAGCTGGGATCCGGAGCCTGCGGGAACTCGGGATCCGCCGGGGGATCGGGATCCACTGAGAATTCAGGATCCTATGGAGGAGGCTCTGGATCCTACGGGAATTCGGGATCTTACGGGGGATCGGGATCCACCGGGAACTCGGGATCTTATGGAGGATCAGGATCCTCTGGGAATTTAGGATCCCATGGAAATTCGGGATCTTATGGAGGAGACTCTGGATCCTACGGGAATTCGGGATCCTATGGAGGATCAGGATCCTCTGAGAATTCGGGATCCTATGGGGGAGGCTCTGGATCCTATGGAAATTCGGGATCTTACGGGGGATCGGGATCCTCTGGGAATTTGGGATCCTATGGAAATTCGGGATCCTACGGGGGAGACTCTGGGTCCTCTGGGAATTCGGGATCCTACGGGGAATCGGGATCCTCCGGCACCTCGGGATCCTACGGAAATTCGGGATCCTATGGAAATCCGGGATCCTATGGGGGATCCAGCTCAGGATCCTACGGATCCGGATCAGGCCGGCCTGGATCCCAAGGGGGAATTGGATCGGGATCAGGCAGACCCGGATCTGGATCTGGATCAGGATCGGGATCAGGCAGACCTGGATCTGGATCGGGATCTGGATCAGGCAGACCCGGATCTGGATCAGGATCAGGATCGGGATCAGGCAGACCCGGATCTGGATCTGGATCAGGATCTGGATCAGGATCTGGATCAGGATCGGGATCGGGATCAGGCAGACCGGGATCCCAAGGGGGAGGCGGATCCGGCTCCTACGGGGGATCCTCGGGATCCTACGGGGACGATGATGCGGGATCCTACGGAAATTCGGGATCCTACGGAGGGGATACGGGATCCTACGGGGGCGGATCGGGATCCTACGGAAAACCAGGATCCTATGGAAAACCGGGATCTTACGGAAATTCGGGATCTTATGGAGGAAAGCCGGGATCCTATGGAAATCCGGGATCCTATGGGGGAGGATCAGGATCTTATGGAAAACCTGGATCCTATGGGGGTGGATCAGGATCCTATGGAAAACCAGGATCCTATGGAGGAGGATCAGGATCTTATGGAAAACCGGGATCCTATGGAAATTCGGGATCCTATGGGGGAGGATCAGGGTCGTATGGAAAACCTGGATCCTATGGGGGATCGGGATCCTATGGAAAACCTGGATCCTATGGAGGGGGATCGGGATCCTACGGAGGAGGATCGGGATCCTATGGAAAACCTGGATCTTATGGGGGAGGATCGGGATCTTATGGGGGAGGATCGGGATCCTATGGGGGATCAGGATCCTATGGAAAACCTGGATCCTATGGGGGGTCGGGATCTTATGGAGGGGGATCAGGATCCTATGGAAATTCAGGATCCTATGGGGGGTCGGGATTCTCCGGGGGGGATTTGGGATCCTCCGGGGGATCCCGGCAGCGCCCCGGCTACAAAAACCCCGGGATCCCCTTTGTGCCGGGGCTGCTGCACCCGGCCCGAACCGGGGGGAGCTTCCCAATCCGCCGGGGACCGGGATCCGGACCGGGATCCGGAACACAGGGATCCGGACTGGGATCCAGACTGGGATCGGCCTCGGGATCTGGTCTGGGATCCAGGCTGGGATCATCACAGGGATCCGGATTGGGACCTGGAGTGGGATCCGGCTCGGGATCCGGCTCCGGATCCGGATTGGGACCTGGAGTGGGATCCGGCTCGGGATCCGGCTCCGGATCCGGATTGGGACCTGGAGTGGGATCCGGTTCGGGATCCGGCTCCGGATCCGGATTGGGACCTGGAGTGGGATCCGGTTCGGGATCCGGCTCAGGATCTTCCCAGGGATCCTCCCAGGGATCCGGGCCCGGAACCGATCCGGGATCCAGCTCCAGGGACGGGGACGGCTGCGGGGGGTGCCGGAAGTAGGGGAGGGGTTCTGGAAGGTTCCGGAGGATCCCAAAGGGTCCTGGAGGATCCTGGAATATTCTGGAGGGTTCTGGAGGATCACGGAGGGTTCCGGAGGGTTCCAAAGGATCCTGGAGGATCCTGGGGGATCCCAGAAGATCCTGGAAGATTCTGGAGGATTCCAGAGGATTTTGGAAGGTTCTGGAGGATTCCAGAGGATCCCGAAGGGTCCCAGAGGATTCCAGAAGATCCTGGAGGATCCCGGAGGATTCCAGAAGATCCTGGAGGGTTCTGGGGGGTTCCAGAAGATTCCGGAGGATCCCAAATAAAAGTCTTGGATCTGCTGGTGGCCTCGTCACGGTGATGGCAGCGGGGGGGGTACTGGGAATACTGGGAATGGGATACTGGGAATACTGGGGATACTGGGAATGGGATACTGGGAATACTGGGGATACTGGGATGGGATACTGGGGATACTGGGGATACTGGGAATGGGATACTGGAGATACTGGGGATACTGGGGATACTGGGATGGGATACTGGGGATACTGGAGATACTGGGGATACTGGCATGGGATACTGGGAATACTGGGATGGGATACTGGGAATACTGGGAATACTGGGAGAGGGATACTGGGAATACTGGGGATACTGGGATGGGATACTGGGAATACTGGCATGGGATACTGGGAATACTGGGATGGGATACTGGGAATACTGGGGATACTGGGAGAGGGATACTGGGAATACTGGGGATACTGGGATGGGATACTGGGAATACTGGCATGGGATACTGGGAATACTGGGATGGGATACTGGGAATACTGGGGATACTGGGATGGGATACTGGGAATACTGGGG